TTTGTTGAGTATCAAGATTCAACCTCCAACAACAACTTTACCATAAGAGATTCACATTTATCACACAATAGTCTTTACTTCAATGAAGGGACTGGAGGAGGAGGAGCAAGAGTTGGATACATCTCTTTTGATAAAGCTCTCTCTCATAGCAATGAGATTGTATTTGAAAACTGCACGTTTCATAACAATAGTGCACATTATGGTGGTGGGTTGTCTTTCTATTCTGCCAGACAACCATTGGTAGATAAAGATCATTTGCTGAATGTTCTGAATTTTATGGAATGTCATTTTGACAGTAATAGTGGCAGGATTGGTGCTGGGCTTGATATTTCAGTATGGCACACATCTATTACTGGTAAACATCCTCACTGCCTAATAGAGGACACAGTTTTTACAAACAATAACCCAGTCCATCCTAGTAATGGTGGCCTTGTTGGTATTGGTGCTGTATACATTGATTCTATACCTACCATTCTTAGTGGGCAAGTAACTTTTGAGAATAATTCTGGTTCTGCATTAGTTGCAACAGGATCATATATTAACATTAATTGTGGAGCAATAGTGAATTTCACTGGAAATATTGGTAGGAATGGGGGTGCCATTGCATTGCTTGATAACACTTTTATTGTCACAAATGAGGGTTCTTCTCTTTATTTTATTAATAACTCGGCACTTTACAAAGGAGGAGCGATTTATTCATTTCGTTCTGGAGAGAGAGATTTGATTTCCTCAGGAAGTTGTTTCCTTCGCTATGAAAATATATCTGCTGTCCCTGAAGAATGGAATGTAATGGTTGTCTTTCAAAATAACACCATTCAACTGGAACTTGATTCAGTTAAATATAATGCAATATATGCTACTTCACTGCTACCTTGCATTTGGGGTGGATCATATGGCAATGCTACATATGATACTAGATCTGATAAAGTTTTTTGCTGGGACAAATCTAGGTGGGTATATGATGAAAATACAACCTGTGAAAGTCAGATATTGTCATCTCCAAAGATTCACAAAGACGAAAGTGTTATTTATAGTAATAAGCCTGGTCAACCATTTTCACTGAACATTAGTCTTCAAGATGAATTAGGTCACAGTGTTAATAGTGAAGCCACAGTAATAGCTCGAATCATTAATGGAAATGCAACATTCCGGGAAAATAGCTTATTTACTTACATTTCTCATGAGCATTTACAAGTTTATGGCGAGCAAAACACAAGCTTTCGTGTTCAACTAGAAACACTGGATCCTATCGTGACTAGAAGCATTATTACTGTCAAGCTAGAGCACTGTGCACCTGGCTTTGATCTCAATCTTGCTAAAAGTTGTGTCTGTCATAGTAATGAAACTATGTTTAGTGACAAACTTCGGTGTAACCAGAATAATTTCACGTCTAAACTAATCTATACCGCTTGGATGGGAGAATTGGAAAATAAGTTATTGGCTGGACATAATTACTTTTTTCATAAATATAACGATTATATCCTTGATGGTGAC